AATCCATTGACCGGCCAGGCAGATGATGTGTTCTGTCATAACTTCATATAAAGTAGTAGCGTAGTGGGGCATTGAAACCAAACAAGACTATAACCAATTGAAATAAATCATAAGGAAGATGAAAATTTTGACTGCAGGAACCCCAAGTTCCGAGGAACCTCGTTGACATACTTGTGGGAAATTGAACTGTAATGAACATGGCAACATATGAATCCAAAGTAATGCTACAGATGGAGGTATAGAAATAAATACGACCTACTCATCACTAGTCATTCCATTTGAGCTTAATAAAAAATTCTTGTGAGAGATGTGATAATTTGTGATGATTTGAAAGAAGTGTAACCATTTAAGGGGATTCTTGTTCCATATTACTGTAGAAACTCCAAATTTGAAGGATCTAATGCCCAGCATCTTTCAGATCTTAGTCAAATTGACCTAGTTCTTGCCCAGAACTTTTCAGAAACAAAAAGAGCAGTAAGATGAATGAGTTAGGATTTTTGCAATTTTCCTTAGTTAATTAGTCAGAAGGAAGGGTGAATTAAGAGGACTAAAGAAGAGATCAAGTTAGCATGTCAATATGTCATTGTTAATCTTCATTAAAATTTGGCTTTTGGCAATTGAAAATTTCATAGTTTAATTTTATTGTCTATGCAAAACTCATATTGGTGGTGATCAGGGGGTGAGCTTTAAAACAGTTACTTCACAAATATATCTGTTTTGACTGTTATTCTCTAGACCAGTGTGCAAATTAAGCTAAGGTTTAGTTGAGATGAGGACATCTCAATACCCTATTGCGCTGAAATTATAACTTTCCCCCTCTTTTTCAGTTATTTTCTTAATTAATGCAATTACAAAATTATATTAGGAAATAAATTTAAAACAAAATTTATCTGAAAGTAGTTATAAAATCTATAGAAACAAAGATTTCAATGAAATAATGTATCGCTTTTGAAATTGTCTGAGAACAGCATGATCTCTACTTTATAATATTTTGAAACAGGGACATTTTCTTCCATCCCCAATCTCTCTACAAAAAGATACAAATTTGTATATGGAAATGGACTACTGATTTACAAAATTGTGTCTATATGCATAGAATTGTCTCATGATCTGCTCAACTGAGAAGTGATATCAATGAAGATGTCCTCTTTGCAGGGAATTGTGAGACCACCCATTGGATGGTAAAAACCAAATTCTTCCTCAGCTTGACTTGACAAGTCTTGAAATGAAGGCTGGTTCAAGTATGATATGGGAACTACAAATCGCTTCTTTTCACTCTCCCCAACATAAACTGCAAAATAGCCTTTTGGGACATTTAGAGTTGTTGAAACTGCTTGGTTTACTGCCGAATAAGGCATGCGGAGAATTTGCTTAGCATTAATAATACGAGGCATGCGGAAACCCATTGTGTTGTATGAACAAGAAAAGAGACAAATATCACAAAGAGTTTGTAAAACAAAAGAATGCTTTGAGAGTGAAGAATGATAAGAGTTGTGTTGGTTGTAGACTGACTAATATGTGTGTGTATATATAGATAAAAGGGCATGTAAGAAATCCTTTGAAATGTAGAATGAGTGGTCAAGAGAAATTTAGGTGGTGGTGTTACAGATGAAGGATCACATGGTTTTGTCTTCCAACACATCATCAAGAATTCGGTAATCGAGTAAAATGTACTTTTGTTGTAAAACATCATGCCCTACCACTGCTTGCAACAACGTACAGAAGACCCTTAGAGCAGATGCTCTATGGCCAGCATTCTCATATTGAATGAGTGGTGAAGACTAAAGCAGTGTGGTCCACAAATCACTTATGTGATGAGGAATCACATGGTTATGCTTCCCAACAAAAATACTAAGAATGTGATATTTTCGTGCTGTAGTACATCTTAGATGATTTGTACCCAGACCACTATAACAGAACAAATAATGGAGGTCCAGTGGAAAATTATACCTTCGTTGCCTACTGATTATAAGATATATCCAATAGACCATTTGGATTAAATATTAACAGTATTAATCCGTAGACCAGCCACGACAAAATATATGGTATCAGACAAGTTAGTTGCTCATGTGACAGTGTTACTTGACACATACAAATGAAAAAAGAAAAGAAAAGTGAGGCTGTAAGCTTGACCCATAATTCAGAGGGATGATAAGTTGACTATATAATCCCTAGACCAGCCAGGCAGATAATGTTGTACTTTCATAAATATTTGATCCAAAATTATCAGAATATCAGCCATTTTTTTTTATATAAAATAGCAGTGTAGTGGAGCATTGAGACCAAACAAAAATCTACTACTACTTGAGAGAGATAGTATCAATAACTACAAATTAAAAAACCAATAGGAAGATGAAAATTTGAGTGCAGCAAGCCCTAGATCTTCAGACAGAAATTTAGTCCATGTATTTGAATCTATTTAGGAACCTCTGCAAGTCCCCAGCAGCAGGGGCGTGAGCAATACAGCAATACAGTTAAACTGATATATTTGTCAATAATGGTTCAAAGCTCACCTTCTTAACATGTACCACTAATATTAATTTTGCAAATGCAATATAATTAGACTATTTCATTTATAATTGCCAAAAGCCAAATTTTAATGACGATTAACAATGACGTGCTAACTTAATGATCTCTTTATATTGTCCCTCTTTAGTCCTCTTAATGCACCCTGCTCTTTTTGTTTCTGAAAGATGCTGGTCACTGGGTCTTACAAAGTTGGAGTATCAATAGGAATCACTAAAATGGTTGAACTTCTTTCAAATCATCACAAATGAGATCAGTCCATCTATTTTTAGCTGTTACCACATTCTCACAAGAATTTTGGATCAAGTTCAGATGGAATGGCTACTGATGAGTAGCCTGAGTAGGTCATATTAGTTTCCATGCCTACATCTTTAGCATGACTTTGGATTCATATGTTCCCATGTTCATTACAGTTCAATTTCCCACAAGTATGTCAACGAGGTTTCTTGGAAGCATGTCTTTCACTTCAAGCCACAATGCAGCTACTACATAATTGCTTTGACTGAAGACTTGGGGTTCCTGCACTCAAAATTATTAATCTTCCTTTTGACTTTCTTAAGAGTAATTATAGGCATGATATCTTTCAATTAATAATAGAATCTTGTTTGGTCTCAATGCCCCACTGTGCTTCTTCTTCCTCTTCACCACTCGTTTGATATTGAGAATGCTGGCCATAGAACATCTGCTCTAAGGGTCCTTTGTAGGTTGTTGCAAGCAGTGGTAGGGCATGGTGTTTTTCAGCAAAAAATACATTTACTCTTATCTCTATGAATTCTTGATGATGAGTTGGAAGACAAAACCATGTGATCATCTTTCACCTCCCACCTAAATCTTTCTTGACCACTCATTCTACATTTCAGAAGATTTCTTGCATACCCTTTTATCTATATATATACACATATTAGTCAGCCTACAACCAGCACAAGTCGTATCATTCTTCACTCTCAAAGCTTTCATTTGTTCTGCAGACTCCTCCTGATCTTTGTTTCTTTTCTAGTTTGTCAGAGAGAGATATATTCATACAACATAATGGGTTTCCGCATGCCTCGTATTATCAATGCTAAGCAAATTCTTCGGATGCCTTCTTTTGCAGCTGACCATGCAGCTTCAACAGCTCTAAATGTCCCAAAAGGCTATTTTGCAGTTTATGTGGGAGAGAGTGAAAAGAAGCGATTTGTGGTACCAATATCATACTTGAACCAGCCTTCATTCCAGGACTTACTAAGTCAAGCTGAGGAAGAATTTGGTTTTGACCATCCAATGGGTGGTCTCACAATTCCCTGCAGAGAGGACATCTTCATTGATATCGCTTCTCAGTTCAGCAGATCATGAGAAGATTCTATGCATATAGACACAATTTTGTAAAGCAGTAGTTATCACTTCCATGTACAAATATCAATTTTGTACCTTTGATTTTCAGAGAGGATATTGGGGATGAAAAATAAATAAATGGTCCCTGGTTTCAAAAATTATAAGTAGAGATCATGTTGTTCTCAGACAATTTCAAAAGCAAATACATTATTTCTTCAAAATCTTTGTTGCTATCGATTTATATCAACTTTGGTGAGCATCCTTTTTGTTTCATTCTATGAGCAAATATATTTTGTTTCAATTAAACTCTTCTTTTTTTTTTTTTGGTAAATATATCAATTAAACTCAGTTAGTAAAAAGTTTCTGCTCAAATGGAGATCTGGCAGCAGTTTATGGTTCTCTTCCAGTAACATATGCATATATACAGATGGAGACATGGAAACTAATATGACCTACTCATCACTAGCCATTCCATTTGAATTTTATCCAAAATTCTTCTGAGAAATCTGAAAACAGCTAAAAAAAAATGGACTGATCTCATTTGTGATTATTTGAAAGAAGTGTAGCCATTTCAGGGGATTCTCGTTCCATATTACTGTAGATACTCCGAATTTACAGGAACTAATGACCAGCATCTTTCAGATCTTAGCCAAATTGATCTAGTTCTTGCCCAGAACTTCAGAAACAAATAGAGAAGGAAGATAAATGACTGATGATTTTTGCACTTTTTCCTTGGTTAATTAATCTGAACAAAGGGTGAATTAAAAGGACTAAAGAAGGACACAATACAGAGATCATCAAGTTAGCATGTCATTATTAATCGTCATTAAAATTTGGCTTTAGCCAATCGAAAATGTCATAAGTCTAATTTTATTGTTTATGCAAAACTAATATTAGTGGTACATGTTCGGGAGGTGAGCTTTAAAACAGTTACTTAACATATATATCAGCTTTGATTGTTATTCTCTAGACCAGTGTGAAAATTAAGCTAAGCTGCTAAGGTTTAGTTGAAATGAGGACATCTCAACACCCTATTGCACTGAAAGTATAAACTTCCCCCTATTTTTCAGTGAATTTTCTGATTAATGCAATTACAAAATTATATTAGGAAATAAATAAAAAAATGTACCCGAAAGTAGTTATAAAATCTATAGAAACAAAGATTTCAATGAAATAACATATTTGCTTTTGAAATTGTCTGAGAACAACACGATATATACTATATAATATTTTGAAACATGGGGACATTTTCTTCCATCCCCAATCTCCTATCTAAAAAAGGTACAAAGTTGAAATTTGTATATGGAAATGATGACTACTGCTTTACAAAATTGTGTCTATATGCATAGAATTGTCTCATGATCTGCTCAACTGAGAAGTGATATCAATGAAGATGTCCTCTTTGTAGGGAATTGTGAGACCACCCATTGGATGGTCAAAACCAAATTCTTCCTCAGCTTGACTTAACAAGTCCTGAAATGAAGGCTGGTTCAAGTATGATATGGGAACCACGAATCGTTTCTTTTCACTCTCTCCAACATAAACTGCAAAATAGCCTTTCGGGAAATTTAGAGCTGTTGAAGTTGCTTGGTCTGCTGCCAGAAAAGGCATGCGGAGAATTTGCTTAGCATTAATAATACGAGGCATGCGGAAACCCATTATGTTGTATGAACAAGAAAAGAGACAAAGATCACAAAGAGTTTGCAAAACAAATGAATGCTTTGAGAGTGAAAAATGATAAAGAGTTGTGTTGGTTGTAGACTAACTAATATGTGTGTGTATATATAGGTAAAAGGGCATGTAAGAAATCCTTTGAAATGTAGAATGAGTGGTCAAGAAATATTTAGGTTGTGTTGTTACAGATGAAGGATCACATGGTTTTGTCTTCCAACTCACCATCAAGAATTCGGTGAGAGAGTAAAATGTACTTTTTTTTATAAAACATCATGCCCTACCACAGCTTGCAACAACCTACACAGGACCCTTAGAGCAGATGCTCTATGGCCAGCATTCTCATATTGAATGAGTGGTGAAGACTAAAACAGTGTGGTCAACAAAATACTTATCCAATTAGGAATCACATGGTTATGCCTCCCAACACAAATACTAAGAATGTGATATTTCCGTGCTGTAGTACATATCAGATAACTTGTTAGCCAGACCACTATAACAGAACAAACAATGGAGGTCCAGTGGAAAGTATATCTTCATGGCCTACTGATTATAACATATATCCAATGGACCAATTGGATCAAATATAAACAGTATTACATGTGTCATGACACAATAAATATGAGATCAGACAAGTTACTTGCTCACGTGACAATGTTACTTGACACATAAAACTGAAAAAAAAATTAAAAAAGTGAGGCCCCATAAGCTTGGCTCTTAATTCAGAGGGATAATAGATTGACTATATAATCCTTAGACCAGCAAGGCAGATAATGTTGTACTTTCATGAATATTTGATCCAAAATTATCAGAATACTAGCCATATTTAATATAAAATAGCAGTGTAGAGGGCATTGAGACCAAACAAGAATCTATTACTATTTGAGAGAGATCGTATCAATAACAACTACTAAAAAAACCAATAGGAAGATGAAAATTTGAGTGCAGGAAGCCCTATATCTTCAGACAGCAATTTAGTAGCTGCATTGGCTTGAAACGAAACAAATGCTCCCAAGGAACCTCTTTGAGATACTTATGGGTCATTCAGTATTGTATGGCAAATTTCTCAAGTTTTCTGATTTAATACACTGAGAGCCTATGTATTTTAAGGTATCAGGTTTTGACTATAAGAACTGCAGGAGTTCATGTATGATGTTCCCATTTCCAAAAAATTTCCAATTAATCATCTCTGTACAGGGGCAATGAACTTTAAAACTTGTTTCAGCTCACCAAATCTTTTCAAGTGACCTTTTTTCGGCTTTATTGCTTTCTCTTGATAAGAGATAATCAAGTGGCTCTTCAAAAGACTAGAAACAACATGGCAAGAAAAATTACTAAAATCTTTTCCGCCTAAAAGAGACTAATGTTAGCACATGTATCTCATCCAAACTTTGGGCATATAATCAGGGTATTGGACATGAAAATTAAATTGAACTGATAACATATGTAAGCATGCCAAATCTCAGAACCATGGAGTAATAGTTGACACGTTGAAATCCAACAAACACGGAAAAATAATGAATTAAGGACGATAAAGGAAAAAATAAAATACAAACGGAAAATCTAGTGTATCAATTATCAAAAGTACTCTGACACCAACAGGCCAGGAATATCCTTATGAAGCCCACTTGAAATATGTCCTGCTAGAGATTCAAAATCCTCATGAAGCCCAGTTCAAATGTGTTTGCTTCTTTTCTGTGAGTCATTCAAGTAATAATGGATTAATTTTTCTTAGATCATCCACTCGATTGAACCAAAGTCTTCATCAGCCTGACTCAGTATTTGAGTGACTATTCCTTCAAAGTATTTTATTGGAACTACAAACTATTTCTTCTGGGTTTCTTCTACTTAAATCGCAAAGTGAGCCTTTAGGAACATGTCATCTATCACATTGAGCCCAACAAGATGATATCCTTAAGACTAACAAATGAGGTCATATGTGCGAGGACAGAAAACGTCGAGTCCAGTCAGGAGACTTGCCAAAAATAAATAAACACAAGATGCTTCCACTCTTCTGGCATAATATAAGTCATATTTTATAAACATTTTGAGAAGAAAAAGATCATAAAAAGAAAAAATCCAAGAATTGTAAGTGCAAATACTAAGCAGTCATAAAGTGGCTGTATATATTATTCTAGTTCAAGATTCTCACCTGGTCATAGCCTAAGTTGCACAGAGCTGATGCGAGAGCGGAGCGTGAAAGTGACAACATTTTAGTCACACATAGTGCGGACAGGAGCAAGAGCACGCCCGGAACATGAGAGCGGGAGCACGTGTGGAGCGTGAAAGCGGCACCAATTTAGAAGAGTTGTGTGACTTAGGTCATGGTAACATGATGCATGGATGAGATCTGTGGAAGCACCTCGTCTGTTTGATCCATGTCATGGGTTTGCCAAGTATTTCTTTAAAATATGTGTTTCCACCAAATGAACTAGCTAAGGTCAACAAAACCAAATGAAAATTCTCTCTCCTCCTTGCTTGATGCAAACAAAACTCGACAAATATGAAGGCTTCTCTATCCAGTCGCTCTCTGCATAGATCTCATACAGTAATATCTACATAAAGACATAATACCCTGGACTGTCAAGCTTGAGAAGACGGTTTCAAATCATGAGAATAGCCACTTTGTTCAAACAATACCCAGAAAATAACCTAACTTTTATGACCGTTTAGGGTGGCCTGAATTTCTGGAGCCAAATTAAAGGCATAGATTGTGCACTGCATACAAGCAGAGTTAGTATTATGTGGTGCAAAAAACTTATCCCAAGCTTAGCCTATGCATAACCCAAAAAGACTCTGCATTTGCAGACAGTGTTCAACATTGGAATTTCACCAAACACTTTGGATGCATTTCTTATACTCCCAGAAAAGCTAGAGTTGCCAAGCAAGAGAACATGAGTTTGAGTTCGAGGGTCCTCGCTTTCTGCAATTAATGACAAAATTTACTATGCACTTAGTCCATTCTTCAATTGAAGGGTCATGCAGTACTTGAAAAACCCAGTTTAGGGTTTATGGGTTTAAAGGTGATTGCTGAGGAAGTCTTTGGTGTTGGTGAATTGATGTAATAGCAGACAAGTATACCCAAATTGGTTACTCTCATACTCCAACACATGTGCATTAATATATACATGAGAATGCATGTATCTGTATTAAGTTAAGAGAAGACTCTAATTTAAGCAAAAAAATTGTTGTCAACATGGTTTGGTTGAGGAACATATAATGCCCAAAGTAATGAATGAGAGAAAAAATAAACTAATATGTAATCTATAGAAATTCAAAATCAACTGAATGACCTTTTGCTTTTAAATTAGATAAATGTGGGAGAAAAAACCAAAGATTGTACATTGAAAGAATTGGTAGTCACTGTTCCAAAAAATGCGTTATTTTAGGGTCCCAATCTCATAATTCATTGGAGAGAGAAGTGGGATTAATGAAGATGTACCTTCTGAGAAAAAGAAAAAAAATTGTGACAAACCCATATTCTTAGCTTGGCTCAGCAACTCTTGGAATGAATTTCTGGAGCCAATTCAGAGGCATAGATTGTGCAGTCATCAAGCAGAGTTACTATTACATGGTGTAAAAAACTTAGCCCAAGCTTAGCCTCTGCACAACCCAAAAAGACTCCATTTTCAAACAGTGCTCAACATTGGAATATCATCAAACACTTTGGATGCATTTATGATGCTCTCAGAAAAGCTAGAGTTGCCAAGCAAGATAACATGAGTTTGAGATTTTGTGTTCGGTTGTTTCTTCATGCAATTAATGACAAAATTTACTATGCACTTAGTCCATCCTTTAATTGAAGGGTCATGCAGTTCTTGAAATAACTCAGCTAAGAGTTTATGGGTTTGAAGGTGGTTGCTGAGGATGTATTTGGTGTTGGTGAATCGATGTACGAGCAGACAAGTATACACAAATTGGTTATTCTTATACTCCAACAAATGTCCATTAATATATACATGTGAATGCATGTATTTGTATTAAGTTTAGAGAGATGACTCGAATTTAAGCAAAGAATTGTTTTCAACATGGTTTGGTTAAGGAACAGATAATGCCAAAGTAATGAATGAGAGAAAAAAATGAACTAATATGTAATGTACAAAAATTAAAATTCAACCGAATGACGCTTTTGCCTTTAAATAAGATAAATGTGAGAGAAAAAAGCCAAAGATTGTACATTGAAAGAATTGGTGGTCACTGTTCCACAAAATGCGTTATTTTAGGGTCCCAATCTCATAATTGATTGAAGAGAGAAGTGAGATTAATGAAGATGTACCTTCTGGAAAAAAAATGTGACACCGGCCATTGGATGATCAAACCCATATTCCTAGCTTGGCTCAGCAACTCCTGGAATGAATACCGGTGTTGGATGAGCAAACCCAAAACCCTAATCTCATTGAAAAACCAACTGGAGTTTGGATGAAAGCAGTGGTGGGAATACCGGTGTTGGATGAGCAAACCCAAAACCCTAATCTCATTGAAAAACCAACTGGAGTTTGGATGAAAGCAGTGGTGGACCTGGTGGTACTTATACAGTTCTAAACTACACCTGTGGTTGAGATATAAAAAAGCTTTTAAATATTACTGTGTTTTTTTGTTCATTACATTCAATAATCTATCAATATTCTTAGGGCAACCCGATAGACTCTCCGAATTCAGTAAATTTGTGGCATCAGTATTTTCTCATAACCACATCAGTATTTTTCATAACCATATCAGCATTTTAGAATCTTTAAATTTTAGTTATCGGTACTTTAATGTTACATTTTGGCCCTCTAAAAAATATTAATACTTTTAAATTTTAAAATAAAATTTATTTTTTAACTTTTTCCTAACAATTATATTTTTCATATTATATAGGCAATGAAAGGTTTTTTTAAAAATAAATAAATAAATATGTATATAATTATTTTTAAAAAAAAAAATTCAAAAAATAAGTTTTTTTTGCCAATATAGCCATTTAGGCACTGTTTGGGTCAGCCAAACAGTGCCTAAAACGACTATATGTTAGTAGAAATATTTTTTAAAAAAAAAATACTTTATTTTTTTTTTTTGCCCAAACAATGTCTTAACGACTCTTTGGTTCAATTATTTTCAAAAAAAAAAAATTGATGCCGGCCCGCATGGTAGGCCCGCAAATAGCCAATAGGCTCTTTGTTTTTGGAGACTTGGATCAAGAGCTTCTTTATGAGGCCCACTTTTCCCATATGCCATTGGAGCATTGCATCTTCAAAATTGCTCTTCAAAATTTGGGCATCTTTCGGCCAAAAAAAAAAAAAAAACCCCACTGATGGAGTTGCTCTTACATGGCTAGAAATACCAGATTTTTAAATGATGCAAAAATGAGGTAAAAAATAAAAAATAAAAAAGGCATTAGGGATACTTTTCAGAGTACAGATAATTTTAAAAAAAATTAAAAAATTTAGCATTTCTCAAATATTAGCCAAAAAAGGATCCTGTAGTATCCAGATACTTTAGCAATCTAAATTTTTAGAAAAAAGTAGGCTAATAAAGGAATCTTGAATTTTGTGCTTTTATTTATAAATTAATTTGATTTTTTCTTTTTTCTTCTTTCGTTTGCAAAAAGTTTACACGCCCATTCATATTTGGGAGAGCTTCCAAACATCAAATGGGCTTTGATAATAAGTCCTTTGTTAAAGTAATTTTATTTGAAAGAATTCAAGACAATAAAATTGTTTGGTGAGTACATTTCTGAAATGCCTTTTAACTATTTTTTTTTTATTATTATTATTATTATTTTTATTCTGAGGTCTTTAAATTATCACCACTGTTTGCAAGTTTCAACATAAAAGACCAAGACAGAAAAAAAAAAGTTAATAGAAAAACTACATGACCACATAAGAAAACCTCCAACAATTACAATGAAACATGATAGAAATGTGTAGACCCATTTCAATCTGGAACCCTCCAGTTAATTGATCACTGATTTCATTATAAACACTACTGCAAATAGATCCATTTTCTTTCTAGAAATTTGCCACCTAATGAAGTTTCAGATTTGGAGCCCCCTCTCATACACATTGTCTCTCTCCAACTGTTTCATTCTCTCTAAATATGCATACACAGATGTATACTTATATTTTGTGTATAGCTGGTAAGATAATTGATCAACTCGAACTCCAATAATGTTAGTATTCACACTTTTTTTTATTGTGGGAATAAGAGCCTCATGATCAGCCCAGAAATCAAAAAAATTGCAATGGTTTTCTAGATTTCTCCGGGCCCGAGGTAACTGAAATAGAGATAAAGGAATGATCAGAGATCCCATTAAGGGGGACGGTGGCAGAAAAAAAGGAGTATAAAGACCAAAATTACTGTAATTTAACCTGCCTACATATCTTATGGCGGAGAAACCCATCACTGGAGGCGGTCTGGTCACCCACACGACGGTTCTCTTCCAATTTGTGTCTCATTTCCGTTGCAGACTGGGTCAGATCAATGGATCACCAGCGAACGTCTTTCAAGTCTCAAAACAGCGTAAGAGGAGATTTCACTGGAAATTTTGGTGCCAACGATCAGATCTTCCGTTGGCAGCGCAAAACGGAGCTTTCAAAATTGTTTTATGGGGAGAGGATGAACAGAGAAGATGGCTACAGAGAACGAAGATGGGGAGAGAATGAGTTACAAATTTTTGTTTAAAATTATTATTTAATTAATTGCCCGAAGTCAATCAGAAAGTAGGTTTTAGTGGCTTCTTTGAAACGGGCTTCTAAACCACTAGTGTTTTCTAAAAGTCCATTTCAAAAACTTCACCAACCACTCAGAAAAATTAGAAAAGGACTTTCTGGACTTAGAAACCCGTTTTAAGACTACAAAAAGCCTAGCCAAACAGGGCCATTGATTTTAACACAAAAAAAATAAAAATAAAAATAACTAAAAGGAAATTGTCAAGCTAAACAATTACATATGAAAAAATTCAAATCCCCATATATTTCAAGAATAAATAATACATCTTTACATTGATTTTACAAGAAACAACTAAATGTTTCTCCTATTTCAAAATTGGATGGAGGCTTTTGGGTCAATGGTGTTAGTATCTTCCTATCCTGTGAACTACATTTTCTAGGAGCAATTCAAACTGAAAAGTGAAATCAATGAAGGTTTCTTCTCTGCATGGTATTGTAAGACCACCCATCCGATGATCAAAACCAAACTCCTCTTCTGCCTGGCTTTAGTAGGTTCTGAAATGAAAGGTGCTTCAAATACGAAATCCGAACAACAAAACTCTTCTTTTCAGTTTCTCCAACATAAACAGCAAAGTGTCCTTTGGGCACATCTGTAGCCATTGGAGATGAAAGAATCCATTGGAAAGCTCACTTTGCATGAACCGGCAAGCGAATTCCCATGATTTTACTGAATTTCTTTTCTTGGAAAAGTAATTTCAAATAATTTTTTTCTATGAATTGTGCAAAACAAAAGAAGCTTTGGCAGTGGATACTAAATAGCTAAACTTAGAACAGATATATATAGAGAGAGAGAGCACTACCTATATCATATGGTCAGCATTCAAATGGAGAAATGAGGTCCATTGAAGGACAAATGCAATGAGGTATCACATGGTTATGGCTTCCAAAAAAGGTACTGATAATAGACCTATTTTTTTGACTCTTCAACTCATCATCTAGACTTTATAATGATAGACACTAAAATTTATATTTGCTGAAAAACATCATGCCCTACCACTTCTATTGGTACACAGAGGACCACTAAAAACAATAAGGTGGGAAAAACATCATGCCCTACCAATTAACCTGATCCACATGATCAAAGACTTGCTCTGAGACATTAAGTCTTCTTTTCTTCTTGGTATGAACTTGTTACATAATAGTCACCGGCATGTATTTTAAACACTAAGGTGGGATTAGTATGACTTCAAATTGTATCTACATTTGGATTTTTATTAAACCAGTAGTTGAAAACTCAAAAGAGCAGGGCTTTTATTTTATTTTATTTTTTGTAATAAGCATCAAAAGGCGAGTGGTGGTTAGGAACATTGAGCTGGAAGGATGGGTTCAAAGTTCAAACAGAAATCCAATCAAGCATTGATTTGATATTAGCTCTATGTATACACTAGAAAACTAGAGAATTCAAAGTTACAGCTAGAAATCCACAATTATAGCATGTCCTGAAGCACAAAAAAGCTTCAACTTGCAAGGCAAAACCCCGTGAAGTCCATATGACTTGTGACCTACAAGTTGTCCTCATTTCTACCCACCCCATTTGAACTTTACCATAATGCTATTTTTCAAGGAATGTGTTAAACTGTTTAGCAAATGACTGATCAGTCTTGGTTGTATCAGCATAATCATTTCAGGGGTTTCTTGTTCCATACTAATTTACACTGGACTAGCAGTATTTTTAGATATTAAAAATTGGGTAAATGAAGGACTAATGGAATTTTGAGCATTTTATTTGGAAAATTAGTTTGAATGGATGAATGGATTGGGAGGACTAAGGGCAGAGTAATGAAGTGATCACCATCTTATGATTGGTTCATTTTAACTTATAAGGTAATCGCAGAGTGAATCATCATTAAGGATTTGGCATTTGGCAACTAAAGTGCTAGTGCATAATCATATTGATGAAACCAAATGTATAACATTAAAAGGGCCTATGTATTAATAGTATGTTTATTGAAAGAGCTATTCCATTAATAAAAACCCCAAAAAATGTCAAGCTATTCAAGAAAAAAATAATAATACAGGGCTTTACATTGGTTTTACAATAAACAAACTCATTTACTCTCATAATTCAAAATTGGAGAGGTTGGTTATTGAGTCAATGGTGTTGGATTGATCCTATTTGGTGAGCCATCATTTTGGCATCTTTCTTCTTGCTTATGATGAATTCAAACTGCAAGTGAGATCAATGAAAGTTTCTTCTCTGCATGGTATTGTAAGACCACCCATTGGATGATCAAACCCGAACTCTTCCTCAGCCTGGCTTAGTTGGTTCTGGAATGAAGGATGCTTCAAGTATGAAATCGGTATAACAAATCGCTTCTTTTCAGTTTCTCCAACATAAACACTGAAGTGGCCCTTGGGCACATCTTTAGCCACTGGAGTTGAGAGAACGCGTCGGATAGCTTGCTTAGCATGAAAAATTCCAGGCAAGCGAATACCCATGATTTTTCTGAATTGATTTCTTGGAAAAGCAATTGCAAGAAGTTGATTTCTAGGTCTTTGTGCAAAACAAGAGAAGCTTTGGCAGTTGGATACTGGATAGCTAATGTTAGAACATATATATATAGAGCACTTACTATATCATATGGTCAGCATTCAATTGGAGTAATGATCAAATTTCTTCAACGTGGTCCATTGACGGACATATGCAATAAGGTATCACATGGTTATGCCTCCCAACAAAAGTACCGATAAGTCTTCAACTCATCATCTAGACTTTATAATGATAGAGACTAAAATGTACATTTCTTGAAAAACAGCATGCCCTACCACTTCTATTAGCATACAGAGGAACCCCCTTGAAATTAAAGAGAGTAAAATA